TATATATATATAAATAATATAATATAGATGGGTAGAAGCGTATTAAGACTACAGTAGCCCAGCAACAATCAGCCGTATACAGCCTTTTTGTGTACTCTAGCTCCTGCTGGGTTGAGGTCCCCGAGGATCGACTGTCTTGATCGACGGTTATTGTGACGAGTGACGATAGTCATTCCCTAAACCCAAACGCTCCATGTACCCATATAGTATATACTTAGACCCTAAAGTACCGATATAGGAACCCCTTTAAGGCCTAATTATATACTATATGGGTACATGGAGCCTTTGGGAAACCCTAAACCCTAAACCGTAAACTCTAAACCAAGCCCTAGGCTTATGGGGTTTAGGCGCTATAGGGTCTAGTGCTGGTAGGATTTAGGACCTGTACTGTAGTTAGGATGTTTTTTTTAATAGTACTATTCTAGTTTTACTGTAGTATGTTTCTTATCGTACTCTTGTAGTTTTTAGTATGTTTTTTATAATACATGGCCCTATAAACGCGTACAAAGATCCTGTCGAAACCCGGAAACCCTTGTAGTAGAAGCAACCATAGCTTCATGAACACCATTCAACACCAACGACGACCTTCCTATCCAGTCCTACACCCTACACCTGCGTTTAGGGTTTAGAAATTAGGGCTTAGGGTTTTTAAGGTTTAGTGTTGTGCAAGGGTTTAGGGTTAGGGAGTCTTTCCATGAGTTCAGGAGCAGCTTCGGGACGTTCAGCGAGCATTGCAGGCCCGCTCTGCGACACCGGGGCTTCCGCTTCTCACGGTTGACTCCATGACGCAGAGAGCCCGCCACCCCTTCGCTAACTAAGGAGGCGAGTTTGGAAGCCTACGTAACTAGTTGGAAATATCTCGATCGTAATAACATATAAAAACAATAATCTTGATAAAGAATCACTATAAAGAATTGTTATAATTAATCTTATAAACATATTGCTGATAATCGCAGTCGTCGCGATAGTGTAGTGCCAGTAAGGATAAGAATAAACAATCAGAGTAATCAAGCAATCATAGTAGTGTAATCAGCATCGCCAAAAGCCCTACTCAAATTATGAAGGCTCCTACATTGTACATTGCATTAAACCACAGCATAAAGCCATTCCTTTAATTAAGGACCTTACGGATAGATAATAGTGAATTATGGGCGGGGGGGCCTCTATCATTGAAGCTCGTTTCCTTAATGTAAGACCCTCCCTGACCCCATACACCATTCCAGTTCCAGGATTCCAGAAGTCTCCGTTGTACTTCGGTATTTTGGTTTAGCCAAGTGTTTTGGGATCCGAAAAGGTAACCCCAAAAGGAACTACGATAGAGACTATAGCCGAAACACCCTACACCCTAAGCTCTAAACCCCAGACGGGCTTCGGAGTGCAGGCGACGAAAAAGGCCCTTTAAAAGAAACGATAAAAAACAAAAAAACTCTAAGCCTTAAATTCTAAACCCTAAACCCTAAACCCCTAGACCCTGTAATCTCTAAACCCTAAACCCTAGACCCTGTAATCTCTAAACCCTAAACCCCTAGACCCTGTAATCTCTAAACCCTGAAACCCCTAGACCCTGTAATCTCTTAACCCTAAACCCCTAGACCCTGTAATCTCTAAACCCTAAACCCTAAACTCTTAACCCTAAACCCTAAACCCCTAGACTCCTAGACCCTGTAATCTCTAAGCCCTGAAGCCCTGCAAGGCCCAAAGTTGGTCCGGCATCCTTCTCTTCACCCCCGCGGCAGGCGTGTGGCAGGCGGGTGGCAGGGGGTTTTCGGGATTGGTAGTTTCGACGAGGGTGTAGGCTAAATCGTTACTGGGTTGAAAGTGTAACACGAATTAACTTTTTCAGGGCTTTCGTAGGCTTTAGAAGTATTCCGTGGATGATTGTCAGCGTTTCTGACGAACATATCTTCGTAGGACCAACAAACGTTGAAATGTTCCGGTGGTCTGGGAGTAGTTGTCCCATCCCGACTGGTGCAACGTGTTTTGCAGGGTCCCTGAACCCCGAACCCTAAATCGTAAGCCCTACAAGCCCTAAATACTAAACTTAGCCCTAAACCCCTAAGCTTTCGACCCTTGTGTCTTGAGCGTCCGGAGCCCTAAACCCTATAAACCCTAAACTCTAATCCGCCGCTGAAGTATATTGACTTCTGAAGTCTTCTGAGAACCCAGAACGCAGTTTAAAAGAAAACTCATGCCCCAGCACCATCCCGGGAGGAGGGGGGGTGGGTCGGTTGGGTCACGAGCTTAGGATTTAGAGCTTTGGGGGCCTTGAGTCTTTAGCCTTTAGCAGCATCGGGTTTCGAGTTTAGGGCGGCGAAGGGCTAGGGGCCTGGGACCCGAGGCTTCTCTGAACAGCCTGGCTCTGTGCCGCAGGATTCAGGAAAAGACCACAGGGTTTAGGGTTTAGGGCTCTCCAACCGAGCCGCTGCCCAGAAATCACGTCAACATGGCAGTGAAGACGGTGCTGATGTTTCTCCGGGGTTTGGGCGGGACGCTCGAAGTGGGACACCTGACCCAGCCCGCTGGGCCTGCACGAGACGGCGCTCACAAGGCAACAGAAGACGCATCAGTCACCGCAGCCACATGCTGCTCTCATTCATGAGTCATGCCACGACAACTGCTACTCCTACTGCCATTGCGACTGCTACTGCTACTGCTGCTGTTGCTGCTCCCACTACTACTACTACTACTACTACTACTACTACTGCTACTACTACTACTACTACGACTACTACTACCCGTCAAATCCGTTGCCTACCTTTTTCCTGGGGTGTTCGGGATTGCTAGGTTCTTTTCTGGAAAACACGGGGTTTCAGGAATTTCCGGGTTTTTTTAGAACTAGGTTTTGGAGGTTGCTTACTTGGAGGCCTGTTGGGCTCAATCGAAGTCAATAGACCCAGTCACGAAGTGGTAACCACCGACCAAAGCATCGATCTCCTCTACCCTGAATGTGCTCCTAGCCCTGAATCCAAGAACTTCGAAGAACCCTCCCATCCCCATCCTTTGTGCGCTGGGCTCCATGCGTCGACGCGTGGTCAATTGATGCCGACTCTTGGCCCGTTGATTGGTGCGGGTGTATGATAGTGCGAATGTAGAACTGCATGTATAGGCATGTGTACTAAGAAGTCTACAAATCACGATATATATGTATATATGGATATAAATATAATACATACACATGTGTGTGTGTATGCATGTGCGTGCAGATGCATATGATCATGTTTACATGGCTACATGTTTCTTTGTTTCTCTCTCTCTCTCTATATATATATATATATGTATCCATCCACCACCATTAACACACATACATAAATCATACATGTAAACATACATATAAACATACACATAAACATACATATAAACATACTTACATACATAGATAGATACACATACACATAAACATACACATACACATACATACATACACATACATACATAAGTACATAAGTACATACATACACACATACATACATACATACACACATACATACAATACCCTCATACACACATACACATATATACATAAACATACACACTATATGAGAAATGTGTGCAGATACACATATGCATATACATATGTATATATATATATATACATGTACATATACGTGGGCATATACATGTATATATATATATATGTAAATATGTACACACACACACATCCATATATGTATGTATATCGACATAACAAAGACAAATACACATGTGTACTATACACGTACATGTCAGGGTATGCATGTATGTGCAGATGCATGTGATCATGTTTACATGGCTGCATCTACCCTCGCATGAATACATACATACATACATGCATTCATTCATTTTTAATATAAATATGTATATATATATACACAGAGTGACACATGTGTGTCCCTCTATAAATGTATATATATATACATATGAGCATATGCTTGTGAACATATATATATATACATATATATATATATAGATATACATACGACAACATATAGATGTGCAGGTATGCGTCTGTGTATGTGTGTCTGTGGCGGGTAGCTAGCTAGGATGGTAGGCTGGCGTATATACATACATATACATATACATATACATATACATATACATATACATATACATATACATATACACCCACATGTACATATACATATACAAATGCTTGTACATATATATATATATTTACATGTGTGTGTCTCTACATATATATATATGTATATGCCTCCAGGTAGATATGCATGATAATATGCATGTATATACATGTATACATGTATGTATACAAAAGTGTGCACATGCATATGCATCTATGAATCTATATGCTCATGCGTTCTCTGCCATGTACCGGTACATGAACCTTTAGATACTTTAGATCTACATATATATATATGTAGGCATACATGTAGTTAGGTATGCCACTACATGCATATGAATGTAGCTATATTTGTACATATACATTGGCAGGCAGGACCGAGGTAAGTAGGTAGGTAGGTAGGTAGGTAGGTACATGGTTAGGTAGGTAAGCACATGTGTATCTGTGTGGAATGCATGTGTTTGTGTAGTTTCCATGCTCGCCTGCATGCACATGCATGTGTATGCACATTGTTAGCATATGCATGCACTATGAAAGAGACACTTGCAGATATGTGCATGCATGCAAGTATGTGTCTGTATATCAGATGGATGCATGTCTAGGTGTAGTTTGATTTGTATGTGAGTATATAGACATGTATGCACCTTTGCCTGGACAATGTGCATGTGCACATATGAATACATGTATATATATATATACACATATATATATACACATGTATAAATATATATATATGTGTGTGTGTTCGCATATATGATGCACTGTGCCTTCACAACTAGATGGTAAAGTATGTACATACATAAGCATAAACGAGTAAACATATGCGTGTATATATATATATACATATTCACATATAGATACACCCTGGCAATATGTTCTAGCTGTGTGAGCCAGGCATGCTCACCATTAAAGTGTTACTCACTTGGTTATCAGCAGGCCAGACTCAAGCCAAACAGCAAAGCTGCCTGCCAAATAACGCTCAAAGGTTCTACGAATTACCCTCCGGATAGACACCCGGCGTGATACACGTGAGACTCTGCCCACCACGTCTTCATCCTGTTGGCATCCGGTTGCCAACGGATTGCATGAAAAGCCACATCGGTGGCTGTCAAAATACACTCGCAGCATGAGGTGATCCATCGAATGCAGTTTCGGGATTAATGGATACAGGCCTGGCTTGCCTTCGCTATAAAAGATCTGAGCTAGCTCACAGTAGCTTCTCAAAAACAGAAGCCCTTGCTTGCTCACATAGGCCCCTTCATTCATCGACAAGAAAGCACCAGCAGTATACAAGAAACGAAACATGCTGTTGATGCATTGCGCAGCACGTGCAGCTACGATGACCTTCTTCTCACCCAAGCATGTGTTTTGACTCAAGACGCAATCCAACCAAAGCAACAGGTTTGTAGTCAGCACACCTTTGTGCCATCCGCCGACAGCACCACTGCTGTCTCCGTAGTTAACCAAGCTCGGGCCGATCTTGGTTATAAAAGCCTGTCTCTTGTTCGCCTTGCACCAGGACACATAATCCGCGCTGACAGTTTCCCATCTCTTCTCCATCGTCAAACAACAGTAAGCAGGCAAAGTGAGAATCAGCATAGTTATGCAGGATGCCGCGAATGATTTTCCAATGCCAAGATGCACAGTGTGCCAGAGATCAGGCTGAAAGAAAGTACCTGGGTCTGTTCTCGAGCATGCCAAATGTCGGAGCAATGGGGGTGTGCGGGGCCATGGCGGGGGGGCTGGTACGGTCTCCAGCCACTTCGGGTCGGTGTAGCCACATTCTTCTGCTGGGTAGTTTTCGGTTCCAGCCATGCACAGATGGCAAACGCCTTTGCCTCGGGCTTCGTTGCCAAGCTTCTTGATAGATCGCGAAAAGTGTCTGTTAAGATGGCCTGCACGAAGCAGGAATGGCCAATCACCTTTGCATGCAACCACACAAAACCGATAGGTCACACCACCGTATGTGTAACCAGTCAACAGACACTGAGACAAGTCTTTAGCCAGCTCCTCAGCAGCCATATCGAAAGACGACTCTGTAACTTGTTTCGACATCATGTTTGTCACAAACCGCGTCGTGTAGGAGTGGCCTGCATAGTTCACTTGGAAACCGATGTCACCATCGGCTTTCCGTTTCCGCGTCCGTCCGTTTACAGAGCAACCATAGCCTAAGCATGACTGAAATCCCATGATCATCAGAGCAGCCTTCTTGAGGGTCCGACCTTCATCCCCATGTATGTACAGGGCAGCTGTGTTCTGAACATCAAAACCTGCAGGCTTGTCGAAGTCGGGGTTCAGCTGAAAAAACCTTTCCCAATATCCAGACCACGTGTTTTGGCACTGCTTCAGGTTTGGACACGTCAAACCTGCCAAATGGAACCACAGGTTGTGTTCGACTATATACTTCAACCAAATCATCGGGCGTATCCAATCTATGGAAAGTCCGTCCCCTAGCCGCATCTCGCTGAATTCCAGCTCCAGTCGCAAGCCCTGCCGCTTGATAACTCTGTGCACATCACGCTCAGAGTTGCCGAGGCCTGCTTGGGCCCATTCACTAACTCCGGTTGCAGCAGCAGCCTCGTCTCCAAACTCCTCCGTCATCGCTCGTGCAAACTCGATCTGCGAAACGCAGCTGGCCTCGGCGGGCAACTGTCATTAACAGATCATGCTTCACGAAAAGAAACAATATCAAGCATTGCATCACCCTTACAACATGCCTGTGCTTCGGTTTATGCATGAACACAAGCTGCCACCCTGCCAAAACATGGACTGTGTACATACGGCACTGTTTCCAGACCCTTTTTCGCAGCACTGTTGTCCTGTGCAAAGCATGGCATACACACTCTGCGAATTGAGAGGTAATTCTTAATTGGCAGACATCAGGCCGCCAGGAAATGGTATGGCCTTGCCTTCAACCAAAACAGCATTTATATGTTTCTAACAGGATAACATCAGATCGGCAATGGCTTGTTCAATCCCTCCGCGCCGGCGGATGTTTGAAAGACCTAGACACAACATATGTGAAGTACGGCCCAGCCAGAGAGTCATCATTCGGCATCGTGTCTCCTCCCAACCTTTCATTGTGGCAGCCGCTTCGTCCTGAGCGAGGGCCATGGTAACACAAGTAGAAAAAGCATACAGTCGAAGTGAATACCGTACGATATGCTTACAGGTAGATATGCCTGTCTGTATCAGAACGATATACATACACACACACACACATATATATATATATATCGTTAGAAAAAAACGATGCACATTAGCCTAATAAGCAATGAAGGGTTTTGGATGTGATTGGTTCTTAAACACATATTGTCAGCATGCCATACACAGGAGTGAACATACACAAACATGATACACATAGATAAGCTACATATATACAAACACACATAGCTTAAAAAAGAGTACATATACATCATGGGAACACACCACTGCATGTTTAGTGTACCCAGAGCATGCACGCATGCATGGCTATCATGCTTGTTGTATATTACCAGATCAGCCTAGCAAAGCAGCCTAGCAAGCAATTTACTTAAAGTCACATGCCATGCATATCTAGCTGTTCGTTTTATCCCAGCCACCTTTGTAGAGATTCACCAAAGCAGCTTCCAGGAACCCAGGCCCTGTAGCTTCCTTCGAAGCAAACAGGATGTCCATCCTTTCGTACTTCTGCACACAGTTCGCGTATCCATAGATGTCGTTTGACCATCGAAACACTGGGTCATGTGTGAAGCCGAACTTGAATGACATGGGTTTCCTCCGACTGTGAAGATCCTCGAAAACCTCGATCGCATGTCTAAGTACATGGCCAGGTGTCCCAATCCTTCTAGGCAGTCGCAAGTGTATTTTCTCATTCTGTTCTATAGCCCCAAGAACAGGAGCGGCACGAGGCAATGAGGCAATTGCTAGATCCAGGCCAACCAGGTTGTCAGTCGAGATGTTTCCATCCCGGGCCACACCCCAATTCGCACCCACGTCTCTGTGTGCATTCCAGGCATAGGGTCCGAGGGACTCCTCAGATGCTACAGAACCCCTACGTACATGTCTACAAGGGAATAATGCAAGACGGTTCGAATGCCAAACAAAACCGTAACCAAAGCCTGACTGTAGTAGGAGCAACTACGAGATGGCAACATGGATCTATATACAGCACATCATCTTGGGAACTATACAGGGGCCACTGTGTAGTCGGACTGTAGCTCAGACTTGGGACAGGTTGGGTTTTGCAAACTTTGAAACTCAGGAGGGGCCAATATGGGTTTCACAATAGGCTTCACAAGTGCAATATGAACAACGCATGGGTTGAGCCCAGTTCGGTTTGAGGATGGTATAGTGCTACGGTCCGATACATATTATAAGTATGACTCTAACATCAAGATGGTTTGGATAATAATTGTTATGATTTTTGCAAAGTGCGAGACCTGACTATTTTACAATATCTATAAATATATATATATATATATAGAGAGAGAGAGAGAGGGAGTGTACGTATGTCTGGAACATGATGTCTCAACTCACTTGATACCTGAGCTAGATGGAGAGTCCTCGTATAATGTCATGGCCCCTTACAACAGCCTACTCAAATGTAGGAAAGGAACTGTCAAGAGCTTTCCTAAATTTATATGAGGATGACCTTTATATAATCCCAACATAGGGTTCTGTCCTTTTCAAACGACATATAGCTGGCCATTGGGGACATAGTAGGACAGCATAAGTGGCCTACAGACAATTAGTATACATAAACGAGTCTAACAAACCCACTACGAATGTTTGAAGCTTTCATCGGGCTGAAATTACTTGTGAAAAGACCCGAAATCGTAGTCTTCGTGACGGGGCTCAGAGCGGTGGCAGGAAAGCAAGTCCAACAGCTCGTCGTCAGTGTCGACATGTTGCGAGACCAGCCACACGACCATGAAGGCATGCGCACAAAAAGAACCTATGTCTATATCTATATATATATATAAACACATACATACATACGTACATACATACTTACATACATATATGCGTGCATACATACGTACATACACACATAGACATACACATACATACTTACATGCATACATACATACATACATGCATAAATACATACACACACATACATACATACATACATACATACATACATACATACATACATATACACACACACATACAGACATACGTATATATGTATGTATGGAGTATGTACATACATGCATGCATACATACATGCACATGTAAATACATATATATATATATATATGTATATATATATATGTACGTGCATATATATATATACATAGACACACATTGCATACCGTGTGTACTTGCTGATGCACAACGTCCATGACACACGTGTGTCATTCTATATCTAATATCTATCTATATCTATCTATATCTATCTATATCTATCTATCTATCTATCTATATATCTATATGTATAGACATATGTGTACATGTAGATCATCCATAGGTGCTCCACGCACACACTGCACACACGAAGCCATGTACACAAATACAACAAGAGTCTCAGCCACAAGTTGGCCCACATGAATCTAGAAACGTGTACCAGGTGTGACTAGGCAATGACATGGCGCACCAGCATGCAGTATAGACAGGATCTCAACTGAGAGCCAGCATGGAGCATGCCAGCGGCTTTAACGACTGGATGAGCCGTGGGCGAGGCTTTTCAGGATGCAGTAGCAGCTTGTGGCTAACACAATCTGTACCTGTCACGATCGAGTGTTCAACTGGTCCCACACATAGTTGCTAGCGGGTCTTGGGGGTTGTTATGAATATCGGCATGTTACTCATCCCCCGTCTCTTTCTCTCCACCTCATACTCTAGATCTCTTTCTGGCCTTATTTATGAACTTACTCTCTGTTAACCTCTCCCTCACTCTCTCCCTCTCTCTCTCTCTCTCTATCTCTCTCTCTTTGTTGAGTGTTTCTGCGTGCATATATATATACATACATGTGCATTTCTATCGATGTATACACATTCATTCTGTATAGACCTCAATTGACAATAGGCATACTTCTACCGACAGACTGCATGTGCACCCCACAGTCCTTGTCAGGCTAGTTTGCATACATAGGGCCCACATGCATGCCAATGGAGCCTTTCAGACAACTTGATGAGGAGAGTTTGCAAAATATCGGTTGTTAGGGTTTTCCGGCTTCAGGGTTTAGCGATTTAGGGGGTTCAGCGGCTTAGGGCTCAAGTGAGGAGATTTAGGGCATACGGGTTTTAAGGGTTTTGAGAGTTTTGGGCTTTGGGTTTAGAGACTTTATATAGGGCTTGCAGAGTATATCGTCCACGAGGATGCGTGTTGTGCTCTTCTCGTGTGTAGTTGTTTGTGCAATGGGTACAGGGTTAGCGTAGCTTACGTGAGACTAACTATAACTAGGTAGAGACCAAAACAGCTAGTACTTCGAGACTTACACAAAATGCGAGGAATGCTGTGCCTTAAGTAAACCTTATTAACCCTATATAAATATTTTAAAACCTATATATCCTAAACCCTAACCTCCTACAGGGTTCAGGTTTTCGGGTTAAAGGTTGGGGCTCCACAGACTTCATGGGTTGACTGAGGAGTCGGCGCCACTGGCGACGTTCTTCGCCATGCGGCGAGCGACTGGGCCATAACCTGGCATGAGTGAGTGCTTCAGGGGCCCATGATGGCGGAAGGTATACAGACTGCACCCATGTTGTTGGGTTTCTTTTCTCGGAGCTTTCGTCATCCTTGCCAACCCGCAGGAGCTGACTTGCAAGGGGCAGCCATAGCTAGTGACATGTAGCCAAAAGCGATTGACAAAACAAACTGGTTGGCCAGCTTTACTCGCTCAGGCAGCTGCTGCTGCTGCTTCTGATCTACATATGCACTCTGGAAAGATATGGAGGCTTGGGCCTTTTCAGTGGTGGCTGTTCTAAAACTAGCAGCACAGCAACAGCCAGCTTTGGCACACATAAATTAGTATGCTGTGCGAAAGGCGCACAGGTGTCATCATCGAGGCTGCTCATGCACCAGCCAATCGATCATGCTTCAGTGTCGGGCTTCTTCTTGAAGTGGCGCTTCGCACTCCTGAGGCTGAATGTTGTTTTGTGAGGATTCAATTGGGGATCTAAGTACGGGCTTAACACAGTCTTGAAGGCATCTCCAGGGGTTCTAGGTCCAGCCAATGACATGTTGGCAAAGCTAAGGCTTTGTCTTGACTTTGTTCTCGTTCGACACCACTTTGGCACACCTGGGCTTCTGCGGCTGTGAGCAGTGAAAGGAATACAGCAGTGCAGCAGCTTGGGTCCATCATTCAGCCGGGTTGCTTGTAAGTCATGTCCTTCATCATAATCTCACTGGCCTTGCGCCACCTGGGGTCATGTTCTTTAGCTCGGACTATAGACAAGTTTTACACATGTAGGATAAGCAATGTAAACATACAGATACACACACATCGTTACATACATCTACATATGTTGTCGCACAGCCCTGTGTATGAGTAGATGAAGAATGGACTAGCAACACGTGCATGTGTAGAGTGGCCCAGAGCAAAGTCGTAGATTGGACAGGAGCCTTCCCTGGAACAAGGCACATAACATGGCATTTTAACGAGCACACACGTGTGTTAGTCGTCAAAACACTAATATGAATCATATCTCGAAACAAGCATCTATCGCTTCCCATTATCTTCGGCACTGAGTGTATAAGTACCACACCCGAAGCTTAGCTCAACCTTGATCAGCTACCAGAGACCCTTAGATCCATAACATTTGGCAGGCCCAAAAGTGGGTGGTTGCAAAGCCTGCATAGCTAGGGTATTTCGGATCGAGTGAATACCATTCCCCCCAAACCGGCTACACCCAACTCCGCCAACTAATACCTGGTTGCATGAGGCATCGCTGGCAACACGGATCGGAACAATGCGGGACTTGGCGCTATTGAGACAGGATGGGCAGTTATCTCTTCTAAAGGAATGCCTGAACCTCTATCTTCTTCGCATATTCTACAACATCTATGTAAAAGCCATGCGGGCTGTACCTCCTAAGCCATGAACTAACCCTATATACACCCTCTCCCTCTATGGTCTTTCTATAGTTACTAACCCGCGCAACTAAAGCTAAGGTTATAAGCCTGAGATGATGGTTTGCATCCAAGACCCCATTAGGATGTAAAAACCGTAATATCCTGTCGTGATCAGACTACAACGACTGGAGTGTGAGCATCTGCTTTTGGGTGTATAGAGAGGACACTGTACCCCAGTTGTATGTGAATGAAAATATAATCGAATATATAAACCCTAGAAACCCTATCCTGCATAAGACAGTACTTGAAACCCTATGTAATATTATGTAATTCCATGTATCCGAAATACAAACCTTAAGCCCGGGACCCCAAACCCCAACAGCCCTAAAATCGTTCGCTCACGGACGAGGTGGTTCTATCCAAAGAAACATTGAACACAGCAGCCGCCTTGGCTTTTGCCTCGGCCCGGTCCTTCTTCTGATCGTTTTTCATCTGCAGCTGCTGCGTGCGCGTGAGAACCTGAGCCCGCTCAAGTACCGGACTCGCTTCATTGTCCCAAAGTGAACGAATGTAAATCTTATATGGAACTGAGGCACTGCACGAGGCATGACAGGCTTCATACCATCATCGGTCTTATCCGGCGACACAGGCTTCACCTTATGATGCTCGATTTGTCACGGGTTCACATATTTTGACTGCCCTGACCCGATGAAGCACAGGCACATCGATGAGCGGGTAATCCACAGACCCCACATCCATCACCTGGGTCTCCACCGTGTCAGGGTTCACGACCATTGATCCTGCAAAGCTAGGCAGTATGTTCGCATACACACATACATACATGCATACATACATACATAGCTTACGATGCCAATGCTAAGCAGAGGATCAGTTTCTTGCACATGCAATCTCACACCAAAATCACAACCCTTAATTGGATCTATGGATAGTGTGCATATGCGTGTGTGCAAGCTTCCATGCATGTGTGTATGCCTATATCTACACCTATAGACCCATACATGTATGTACATACATATATATATATACACATATACATATGCTTTATTTATGATTTTATGAAGGTCTCTCTATCTCTATATATAAGTAAACAAACATAATATACGTGTATATATATATATATAGATATACATACATACATATACACACATATACACACATATATATATATGTGTGTGTGTATGTATATATATATATATACATATGGACATACATCTATGTCTATCCGTTTAAGCACATGTTCACGTACATGTCTATGTGTCTAGACATATACACGCATGTACTACAGACACCAGTATCCACACCTCTTCGATGTGCATTGTGTATATCAATGTTCACTAGCTAGCCATGCAGGTCATGTACACTTATCAATCATTTATCAATGCCTACCGCACATCGTGTCCTTTGGCAGGCGGCGGCGGCACCGCTGCAGCTCCGGCAAGCTTCTCTTCTTGCAGCCTTATCCAGACAAGTAGTGGGAATGAAGGGGATAGACAAACCTATATAAGGAGACATGGAGGGGGACGGGGAGAGAAAGAGAGAGAAAGAGAGAGAGAGCGAGACATATCCAGAGATACTCCGAGACAGATGGGAGCAAGGCGCTGCGAAACATAATAACATTACATCTAAAGAGGGAGACACCAAAGAACGTAAGACAGATATCGATCAAGAAGCGCGAGCAACGAGGCTGCGACTCGAACAACTATGTAAACTTAAGGAGATGTGCAGAGACACACACACACATGTATGCATAAATATATATAAATAAATATATATATATATATATTTATATTTATTTAACGTATATCTGTTGAAGTATGAACATGTACCCATGTGCTTTTATCTAGGTACACAAGCATATCTCTATATATATATATATCCATGCAACATGTTTTGTATACTTACATGGCTGTGTATGTGTGTGTGTGTATGGTTGCTAGTATATATATCTTGTGTACAAACATCTACATATGTGCATAAGCGCTTACCTTGCTGCTTGGGGGTGTACTCAGGTAAGCATTCATCGAAAGAGCTTCACCATTAGATGAGGGAAGTATATAATACAAAGACACATAGATAGGAAGGTAGGGAGCTAGCCGGCTGGATGAATTTCCAGAGACAGATCTAATGTAGGAATACATAGGTTAGAGTTATATATAGAGGCAACTAGGGAAACGTCCAATGGCCTACCCGAGACAAGAAGCACCACAACCTGTTCAATCAAAGTAACTTTGCAATGAAGGCCTTCTTCCTAGCTATGATTGCCTGCATCTGCTCCCGAACGGAACGGCGGCGATCTGCTTGCACTTGCCTGCATCAGCAGGCCCCCTGACCCCGCTAGGATAAACGATAGGGCAACATATCTAACAGGTACTTAGAAACGTACATCTTATTGCCAACAAGTTGCAAGACTCCAGAGGCTTGAAACACTTATCACAGTTGCCAGCAACATGCCAAGTCGACATACCATCCTTACCAGACCCTGCCACAGATGCACCAGTAGCCATAACCCTTGACCGGTTGAGCATCGGCTGGGGATCCTTTGGAAGCTCTGCTACAGACAATGACGATGGGGCCCCTGATCCGGATGAGGCTGCTTCGGATGGCGGAGATGGCGCCCTGGATGAGGCTTCTGCTCGGGATGGCACCAGGGATGAGGCTTCTGCTTCGGATGGCACGAGGGATGAGGCTTCTGCTTGGGATGGCATCGGGATGAGGCTTTTGCTTCGCATGGCACCGGGGATGAGGCTTTTGCTTGGGATGGCACCGAGGATGAGGCTTCTCGGGATGACACAAGGGATGCGGCTTCTGGTCTGGATTCTGACCCCGCGGACGGGGCTTCGGTGGTTGCCGACGGGGCCGCCGAACCTCGAGGTTGCTCCTCAAGCCAACGACGAAAGTCATCGATGTCAGTCTCCTCCTCGACTGTATCACCTGCCTCATCGCTGCCGTTATCTGCCGATGAGCTCTCACCTAGGCTGCTGCTACTGAGTGATCGCAACTGCTCATCGAGTGCCCGGTCCGCGCTCTTGAGTCTCATCATTCCCGCCATGTACGCATCGATGTGCTCCTGCATACAGTTTCACTTCGAAGGGATTTGGCATTCAGTTCGAACCATAGGCACACGCAGACACAGACCTCACATACATGCTTGAAACATATAGGACATGTCACTTCATCTACTAAGCGATCCAGCTTTGAAAAAAACGAACCAGTCCTGCAGGTCAGGCCTGATGATGAGCAGCAGCTTGTGAAAGCGTGTGTCCTGCACAAGCCAATATGGTTGCTTTTGTTTTTTATTACCATACACATATGTACACATGTATGTGCTATGTTTGATTGCCATGTCTACTCATGCATAAGCACAATGAAGCACAACATGATGTACAGGAACTTCATAGACAGCTATATAGAAGCCATGCACTGCAAATCTCCTTCGTGACCTCCTTCTTGCTTGCCTTCCTCTTGACGAAAGACAGCATCTTCTTGATCTCACCCGCTGTTCGATAAGCAATCTTCTCACCTGCCTTGACATGAACCTGCTTGAAAAACCGCTCTACCTCATCCTGCAAGGGGGAGATGTAGGGCAGCTTCAGGTCATTAGCATACATGCGCTCCAGGCATGGAATAAGCGTTGCGGTATTTGCAACAGCATTTGCACGGTTGCTGTCGCAGAAGGCAGCACCAGGAGGAACTTTCATCAACAGACCATAAACCCGGGCCACGTTGCGCACATCAGCGGATTCCTCCCATGAAGTTGCAAGCCCTGCAACATTCATACCACCTTCACCTCTGGCCGCTGCAGCCATCGATCAAAATCGACACACAGTGTGGCACAAACACCCTGAAGATCAAAAGCTGCAGTATCAGAACAAGTGCGATGCATCTATAGCGTGCACATATGACACATGGAATCTGCATGAAGGCTGTCTAGCATGGCATAAACAATGCCCTGATGCAGGCTGCTCGGCTCGATCTAGCACATGCTGACGGATGAAAAAAGAGCTCTGAGCTCCCAGCTGGTCTGTTGAAGATGTGCTCCGTAGGCCAGTTCAGTCAGCACCACTTGAGGAACACCATCGTGCAAGCATGAATTTCTAATTAGGTGGCTTAGATATGGACTCTGAATGGAGGTAACATCGGAACATTTTAACACTCGCTTGCAATAGGCGGGCCTGGTGGAAACTGCATGGCCTAGTTGACTATGATTGGCAACGGTACACTTGAAGAGCTTCAAACGCCCTTCTGAATTGCATTGAAATGCATGCGGTCTACACTTCATCCCGCTTAAAGACCCCATCACAAAGAGCTGGCCACCATCCTCTGAAGCCCGACGACGAGCAAGGCTGGTTTTTATGGTGAATATGGGATTTCCGGGTTTTTTTAGAATTAACAGGAAATATACCCAATGGGATGGCATAACCGGGATATTAATTCCCAACCCACAAAAAAGAAGGCAGAAGAGTTACCGGGTACTACTACTACTACTACTAGTCCTCTTACGGCCGCTGCTGCTGCCTCGAAGTCGTCGTATTCGTGCCAAGCGACAGGTTTACAAGAACAGGTGGTATAAAGTCTCGTAACACCGTGGGCCCCCAAAAAAGCCATGCCCGGTGATCGTTGTTGAGGATTTACATAATATGTTTTTTGTTGCGGCTTCTTTTCCCTTGACCCTCCATCTACCCTCTATGAAACTTGAAATGCCTACGATTAGGGGCCATATGCATTTATTTGAGGGTACAAGGAGCGTCCTGGTTAAGGCCTAAACTAAGGCTACACATGGGTAGTGCTCTCAGGTCCTCTTTGGGGTCTTTTTTTCAAGAGTCTCGTAGTATTTGGGGACCTAAAAAGGGAAGAGAGCTATCCATATGCACCCGCGGACTCGTAGGGACTTCTTAGCCCTAAGCCCAAGGGCTCGTGAGCAGGAGCATTGCGGCAAGGGACGTGTCACAGAAACCCTACGCCTTACTTCAGGGCTTATGGGTCTGGAGGCGTCTTGAGGGTTTTATGGGTTTAGGGTTAGGGTTTAGGGGTTTAGGGGTTTAGGGTTTAGGGTTTTATGGGTTTATTGGACTTATCTTTCTAGGGCTGCTTACAGTTACAGGATCTGTAGGGAAGAGGATCCAGTTTTTTGACTGTGTCTTGGACCCTCAGGGTATTCCCCTGTACATTACATTCTAAACTTCCAAAACCCTAAACCCATTCTAGCCGAAGGCCTGGGAACCAATAAGTGTTTAGGGGTTCACAGCTTTTGGGGTGAATTTCAGGAGTCCCCTTTCGGCGCCGCTGAGGCGTGACTCTGCAAACTGTGGGCTGTTCATGTTTAGTTCTTTTCAGGTGTTTAAGATTCGGGGTTTAGGACTTGGGAATTTGCGGGTATGTTTGCTGCGGTTCAGGGGTTTCGGAGCTTGTGCATAGGGTTTGGGCTTGAGGAAGCTCTGGTCTATATGTCTCGGTGTCCGTCCGAAAAGAAGAGCAGTGTTTATGCAGGTTTGCTTATTGTACTTATAGTACAACCTAGCGCAGAACCCTTTTCTATTCTAGTATTAAGGCCCCAACCAGAATCCGATACTTGTAGTAGACAATATTGTCCAGATCCTTATGCAATCCTTAAGGCCCTAGCCAGAATGGAGTGTGGAGATTCTCAGATGCTGCCCCGACTGCTACTAACCCTGTAGGGCCCATCTAGCCATGTTATAGCCTATGCCTTGCAGCAATGCCTATATTGGACTACTGTAAAGCCAGGACCTATCCTAATCCCAGGTACCTCATGATCGCCCCTTGGGTGGTATCTCTGCCCCAACGCGGAAAGCCTGAAATGTAGAAGCTTGATTGATATAATAAAAGTACATAGATGCAAAATGTGTACGCAAAAAATAGATAGTATATGTACATACATACATGCATGCATGCATGCATACATACATACAGACATACATACATACATACACACACACATATATATATAGAGGCATATAAATATATATATATATATATATACATGTTCCATAGTTTATACTATTTCTATCGTCTTCCGGATTCTACCTATAGTTTCATGCACCTGACCACCCTGCTCCATCTTCGTATTACTAGGCCAACTCCGACATTGAAGCTTTGCGAGAGTCCCGGAGTCTCTGGGTATGGTGAGAGTTCAATAAGTGTTAGGGCTTTAGGGTTTTAGGGTTTAGGGTTTAGGGTTCAGGAGTTAGGGTTTAGGGATTAAGTTTGCAGATTGAGGGTTTAGGTTTCAGGGATAAGGGTTTAGAGCCTAGGGATAAGTTTTTGATTGAGGGCCCCTTACTCTGGATTCGTTCACAACAATATACCAAAATATGCATTCGATTTGTATCACATTGCTAAGTTCGGATCACAGTACTAAGCAGTCTCACTGTGACTCCCGGAATGCGCCTTCACTACTTACTGAAGCATTTGTTCCGTATGTGAGAGTCTTTAGACCCTCCAATCCGGAAGCTGAAATCCGAAACCCAAACCGGAAAGCTTAAACCATCCTCATCCCTAAATCGCGACATTTTTCAGCCGCATAAATCGCCAGCCCAAAACCTGAGCCTTGTAACCCTAAATCCGAAACACTGAACCCCAAACCTCAAAGCCTGAAACCTCTGAAGCACTCACAGGAGTCGCCGAAGCGTCGTCCAGCGGAAGAGGAGGCATGCAATGTGCCCCCTGCAGCTCCGGTGGAGGTCACAAGGACAGGGCTTTGGGTTTAGGGTTTAACCTAAACCCTAAACTCTAAGCCCTAAACCCTAAGCCCTAAACCCTAAGCCCCAAGCCCTAAACCCTACACCCCAAGCCCTAAACCCTAAACCCTAAATAGGGTTAGGGACAGGGTTTTAGGGATGCTTAGAGGCTTCCCCGAAGGCTCCTGGTGCCCATCTAAGTAGTGCATCTCAAGGCTGCTTGGACATGATTTGTCATGTTTGGCTATAACCCATTATAACCCCCAGGAAACAGCTGAAACTATCAACTTTGCAAGGATACCTAGTTCAGTAGAGTACATATTTTGGAGTACCGCCTTAGTATATACTCTCTCTCTCTATATATATACACACAAATGTATGTGTATATGTATATATACACGTATATATATATATATATATGTATATATGGGTACATATAGCCTTTAGTCTTGTCAGTCAACCCTAAACCCGAAATTCTAATTTTATCAGGTTTTTTGCATCGACTTAGAGGTTCCGAAGTCGGACGTCTCAGGAAGGTTTTGAGGTTGGGTTTAGGGTTTAGTAGGTTTTAGGGTTTAGGGTTTAGGGTTTTAGGGTTTAGGGTTTGGAGTTGAGGGTTTAGGGTTGAGGGTTTCAGAGCCCCTAAGCCCGCTCAAAGGCTTTAGAGCTCGGGGGTTTAAGGGCTTGAGTTTCGCCTTCGACCAGTATCACAGGACTTTTTCGGTGTTTTACGATTTAAGGTTTAGGGTTTGGATTTCGTGCGAGTTTTGCAGGGCTTGGGATTTGCCCTGTGGTGGTTTTGTATCCTGTTGATACTGTCTTGGTATGAACCCACAAGGACAGGTTTTCCAAACCACTAAACTCCATTCCCTAAGCCCTAGACCCTAAACCCTAAACCTCGAAACCCCCTAAACGCTAAGCCCTAAAAGCTAAGCCCTAAAAGGACCCACGAGAACTTATCCCTCTGGCGTGCCGCTGCGATCAACGGCTCCCGACGCAGAGGGGCGCCAAGCGCTCAGGCCGGCGCAGGGTTTCCCGAAGGGGTCCAAAGTACCCAAAAAATGGAATGTAGGGTTTTCTATATTGGGAGTTACTATCTTGGTTTGGGGAGGTATCCCCCATAACAGTACCTAGGACCCTTTTGGGTCTAGGGGTTTAGGGTTTAGGGGTTAGGGTGGAGGTCTAGGGTGTAGGGGTTAGGGTTTATAGGGTTTAGAGGACAAAGTGTTGTAGTGGGCGCACAGAGGTTCCATGTAGACTAACCGATTTATGTAAGTCCAAATATACCGTATAGTCACGTACTTGGGACCCTCAGGAGTGGGTCTAGAGCGGCGGAGGACTTGAAACGGAGTTGAAGATGCAGCTTTCGATTTTGTGCTTATGGCTGTAATATTTTGTTTATAAGTGGCTTTCGATTCTCTGCATGGGCCCTAAACCCTAACCCCTAAGCCTTGGTGGTTTCTTTACCGCATCGCAGCATGGTCGATCAGCAGCTTCACGGGTCACTGAGCGCTGTTTTGGTTTGTAGGTGGGTCGTGAGGGTAGCAGTCTTCAAGACTTAAGCATTCATGCAAGAACATCTAGTACGCAGCAACGGGCTCGGCATTCTTAATCGAGTTGGAGAGGTCTTAACTAGTGTTCACTTCGTTTTAATCACCCCCCCCCCCCTCCCCCTTGATTGTGGCCCAGGCAGAAGAGAATGATTATTGAAGGGAGGGGGGGGTCCGAGTCCTACTACGCTGCGACTCTGGAAGGGCTTACAAAACTGCTTCAAAATTTCTAGGAATCAGGGACGGGATTGTTATTGAGTTCCGCTGATCGATTTTTATAATTGAAGGGGGGGTATAAACATAAAGTCAACTTTGTTATTTTCGTCCTCGTCCATGTCACTCTTTCTAAGTTGATCATCATGTTTGATTGTTGTGTATTTGCTATTATGACGTGTTGTTATTGTTAGTGTTGTACCATCACCATCACCATCACCATCATTTCATCATCATCACCACATCATCGTCATCATTTTCATAGTTGTAATACTGCAATTAGGTATACAAGTTAGTATTTAATATACAAGTTTGTTATAGCACGAATAACTGCGATATTGGTAATTATAGTTTTAGTAACTTTAGTAATGTCAACACATAGTTTTGCTGTCATTATGATAAATTATGATGATAGTGACTATAACGTCCATCAACATCACCGCTGTCTCTGATTATGAACATTACTATGGATGCCGATGCCAAAATGGTTGTTCTTGTTGTTCTCATCTTATGCTGATCATTGGCATCATTCTACACATTCTCGTGCAATGCTTGCTGTGTTTCCCGTTATTAATGATGTTTAACTGCGTGTTCTTATCATTCTTGCTTTATCAATTTCCAGTACCCTTATTATTCGCATTCTTCAAGATTTGTCACTAGGTCTTACAATGCTTGAAGTTTCCGGCGTGGCAGTTGCAAGCTTCGCTCTTCCTTGGGATGTCGTTGGTGACGGTCGTCTCCCTTAACCCTAAACCCCTAGACCCTAAACCCTAAACAGACCCTAAACCCTAATCCCTAAACCTAGTCTGACCTGATTCTCGGTTGAGGGTTTTGGATCTAGGAATTGGGGCTCAGGGTCTCCAAGTGCTCCAGGTACCCTCAATATTCTCCTTAGTGAGTGTTCGGGGTATAGCCTAGGCGAGGTGCTTATCCCATACCACAATGGGCCTCATAACCACAATGTAATTTTAAGGCCCCTACATGAGGTTGCACTTGTTGTTTGTTTGTCTTGTTGATCCGAGGAAGGCAGGGGTGCAACCAAACTCTGATCTTGCCTGCATGTTTTTACCCGAAAGGGTTTCTAGAAGCTTAGAGTTGGAGTTACGGGCGTAGGGCAAACCATGAACCCTGAACCCTACTAGTTTGTCGCCTCCCTACCGCTCCTCGCGGCAGGAGCTTGCACAGTCATGCGCTGAGGCTGCTTGCGGCTATCTGGAGGCCATGAACCCAAAAAGGATAAAGGTCACCTGGAAGTTCCACAACAAAACATAGCTTTTTGGTGCTTGAAGGCCGATGAATATTTGGGGCCTGTGCGCCCTTAGTCATTAAAGGAAGAGCCGATGTTCAACATGTGAGAGATTGAACGGAGCTGCTTAAAGGTGTGGACTCCTCGTTTCTGGAACTATTTTCTTAGAGCCCCTCCAAAATTAAAAGTAAAAATTAGACTATGACATGCCCACAAATCCTATTCTAGTTGTGAAGACCCCGGCACTAGCGGCAGCATTTCGGTGTTTGGGCTGCCACAAGCAATTGCAAGTATTTACGGAACCACGGATTCTACACACCGAAGTTGTATCTCCTTGTCGTCAACATGTAGTTGTACTGTCACAGACTTCAAAACCCTGTCCATATTGCTCCCTGCTAAGCCCTAATCCCTATAGCCCCTATATACATATATACACACACACACGTATGTGTATGTATATATCTATATATATTAATATTATTATAATATTATTTATTATAATCATGAAAATAATCATGATAATCATATCTAGATACACATACACAACACACATGTATAGAGAGAGAGAGACATGTACATATATATATACACATATATTTATTTATTTATTTATCAATATTTTTTTTATAAGATAGATAGAAAGATAGAAACATAGACGGATAGATAGATAGATAGATAGATAGATAGATCGATAGGTAGGTAGGTAGGTAGGTAGGTAGGTAGGTAGATTGGTAGATGGGTAGGTAGGTAGATAGATAGATAGATCGATTCATCGATCGATCGATCGATAGATAGGGAGGGAGAGAGAGAGAGAGTGAGAGAGAGAGAGAGACAGACAGATGGATAGATAGATAGATAGAGATAGGTAGATAGATAGGTAGATAGATAGATAGATAGGTATATAGGTAGATAGATCGATAGACTGATAGATGGATAGGTAGATAGATTGGTAGATAGAAAGAAATAGAGACAGAGAGAGGGAGAGAGAGAGTGAGAGAGAGAGAGAGAGAAGCCTTACAAACTCTTAAAACCCAATTCTCCCCTTATTAAAGACGAGCCCGAAGGGTGCAGCTATGACGCGGCACCTGGCCTCACAGCAGGCCGGATGTGTCCCGATGCTTCGTTTTCGAACTCCCATAGTTCTTTTCGTTCTATTCAGATAGTCCCAGCAATAAATCTGGGGCATAGAATAATCAGGTACTGCGTACAACCGACTACAACGACTACTGACTACTGCCAATACTGCTTCTACGACCACTACTACCATTTTTTTGCTACCACTCTACCCCTACCACTGCTGCTACTACTACTACTACCACCACTACTACCACTGCTCTCACTGCTGTCAGTAGAAGCCCGACACTCCATGCCGTGAATCCCAAACTTTCGCAGGCCACAAACTGAACGCTGGCATTACAGTGAGGGACAAGCTACACCCGAAGACCTTCACCATTTTGGATTCAGAGTTTGGGGTTGAGGATTACGTGACGGTTTAGGGTTTTTCAAGATTAGAGCTTTGTGTATTTAAACTCAGACAATCAAGATTTGGGACTCAAGCAAATGTACTACCTACATCTGATGCGTTTTAAACTGTTTCATATAACTCGCATATTGTGCAAGGTGCTTTAAGCTTTGTGTAAGGTTAGGGCTTTCAGGGTTTAGGGACACGGCTTAGGGTTTATCAGGTTTTTACAGGCTTCATGTGTACCCAGAGGTTCCTAAGTAGTTCCTTTTTATGGTTCATATCTAGAATCCTAGAAGCTATTCCCAAAAAAGGAACTACTAAGGAGCCTATGGGTAACAACGTAGGTTTGTGATCTTCGTAGACCCTAAACCACCAATCCTCAGAGGCTGAAAGCCTCAAGCCCCAGGTGCCTAAACTCAACAGGCCTGGGCCTGCATACCCAAAAAAAGATGAGGGCTTCGGGGTTTAAGGGCCCCGACGCCATGGTATAAACAACCCGTGTATAACTGTGGTAATTAGAATCATACCCGAAACACGAAGGCCTCTCAAAAGCCCTGTGTACTCTAGTGTGTAAAGCAGCCGCGAGGTTCCCCAGTAGTACCCTTTTGCCCTTTTCCTTTTCGGGTTTCCCTTGCTAAAACCGAATAGTAGGGAACCGGCACCCTTAAAATTTCTAAAATTAAGGGGCTGCAAAACCCTAAGCTTTAAAAACCTAAACCCTAAACCCTAGGCTGGCTAGATTTACACACACAACCAGGCCGAGAATGCCAAGAAGATCGAGGCCGAGATCGTGAAGAAGGAAGAGGCCCAAACACCAGGGTGTTCGGGGGTTTGGGTTCAGAAAGGTGAGCAAATGCTATTTCAGGGTTTAGGGTTGAAGCCGTTTAGGCATCATCTGGATGTCCGACTTAGAGCACAGCACTCGGCAGACGCGGCACAGAGCGGAGGACTTTCCAAGAGTTAATCAGCAGTCCTCCTCCAAGACCACGATGTCCCATTAACTTGGCGTTGATAAGAGGATTTTATAGGGGTCACGTTATTCCGCGCGTACAGCCAAAACATTGCGGAAGGAAGGTGACCATTTGCTGCGCTGATGCAGCCAAAGTTACAGAGGCGCTTGCCGCAGCCTCCAGACTGCGCAGGAGGGCACACGATATGAATCAGGATCAGCTGACCAGATGTATCTGTCGCGTGCTAAGGCGCTTTGCAAGGAAGTCAGACACCCGAGTGAAGGCAACAAAGCCCTAAACCCTAAACCCCTAATCCTATGCCGGTGCTACAAGGTTCTTTGGGGTTTTGAGAATTCCGGGTGTAGCGAACGATGGTTTCTGGTATTGGGGTTTGCATCTGTGGTTTACGGCTTGGGCTTGCATTGATGATTTCGGGTCTGAGGTTTTTTGAAAATATAGTTCAGGGTTTGCATGTAGGGCTTGGTCTATAGTCTAGAGGTTTAGGTTCTGTGCTCCGAGCCTTGATCCCAGGTCATGCTTGCAAGTCATCTTTAGAATCCGTCGGAACCCATATAAATTCCTTCAAAGACCCTATGAAACCCCATATATACCTCAATGACAAAATCCTCGGCCAGACTCAAGAAGAATTCAAAGCCCAAGCCCTCAAAACTAGGGCTCATTGCTATCGAGCTGCTGAGCCTAAGCAAACGATCCCTAAGGCTCAGAACAGCCCAGTTTGGCTTAGGGTTTAGGTATTGTCTTGCAGTCTTAGAATGCCAGTATCCAGAAAAACCCAGCCCTATAGCTCGTAACGTTATTCTGCGACCTTCTCAGCGCCCTTCTACAACTAACGAACCCTTGAAACGTAAAGCCCACTCCACACCCTAAAAAGCCTTCCTCAACCCGAGAAGCCGGCTGAAAACCCTCAGCCCTATGACCGATCCAGGCACGACCCCCTAAAAGAGAACCTTCAGTGTCCAAGTATCTTTTAGGGATTGGGTTTAGGGTTTAGGGTTTTTAGGGTTTTCAGGGTTTAGGGTGTTTAGGGTTTAGGATTTAGGGGATTTTATGGTTCAGGGTTTGGGGTTTAGACTTTGGGGCCTTTATGGGTATCAAAACTCATAAATAACGACTACTTGGACCCTTAGGGGAATTTTCCCAGGGCCCATGTACCAACATGGTAAATGCTTAGATCCCAAGGGGCTCCTGATATCTCAACTTTTGACCCCATGTCTAGAGTGTATAGGCACCCAGGGACCAATGCCATCCAGTACCCCTTAAAATCAGGAATATATACCTCAAGTTCTGAGGGCCGGGAAAATGGGCTTAATCCCTTTCTTAAGGCGTCTCTGGGTACATCGAATTCGGCTTCAGGGTTCCCTAGACCCCAAAACCCCCTAAACCCTAAGCCCTAAACCCCTAAACCCCTAAACCCTAAACCCCTAAGCCCCTAAAACCCTAAACTAAGCCCCTAAACCCCTAAACCCCTAAACCCTAAACCCTAACACCCTAACACCCTAAAACCCCAAAACTCCAAAACTCTAAACCCTAAGCCCTAAAACCCCAAAGCCAAAACCCTAAGCCCTATATAAACCCCTAAACCCTAACAACCCCAAAACCCTAACACCCTAAAAACCCCAAGACCCTCTCTTTCCGAGGAGCTCCGTGAACTCCGACGGTCCCTGGGCGAGGACCCGGCGGAGCGATGGGATAGAGGGGAAAAACGTGAGGTTTAGGGCTACAGGTTTTAGGGTTTAGGGCTTTAGGGTTTAAGGGTTTAAGGGTTTAGGGTTTAGGGCTTAGGGGTTTAGGGTTCAGGGCTTAGGGTTTAGGGTTTAGGGCTACAGGTTTTAGAGTTTAGGGTTTAGTCTTTAGGGTTTAGGGCTTAGGGTTTAGGTTTTACGTTTTAGTCTTTAGGGTTTAGGGCAGCTCCCAGGAAGAGAAGCAAACATGAAAAAAAGAGTGCTGGAGTTATCTATGTACCGAAGGCCTGTCTAGCCTGGGGATCTAGAGCTTCGGGACCGAAAGCCTCTTAGAGGACATTCCCAGCTTCGGATTTAGGGATTTTGACTTTTGACGTCATGGGATTACGGTGTGATATGTATACGGAGTAGTGCAAGCAACAGCCGGTCAGCAGTAAGTCTGCAACCCAGTAAACGAAAGAGCCCAAAGGCTCCATGTACCCCTGTAGTATATACTTAGACCCTAAAGTAGCTATATAGGAACCCCTTTAAGGCCTAAGTATATACTAGATGGGGTACATGGAGCCTTTGGGAGTGTTGTCTGTTCTCTCCGCATAGTCGGAACAAGCCGGAAGAAGAGCCATGCGGGCGATAGCCCCCGTGAGTCCTATTCTTTCACCCCTTTAGACCCCAGCCCTTCTCCCCTGAACTGCAACCGACAAGACACGAGTCTTGAACCGATTTGAGGTTTTAGGGTTTACCCATAGGCTCCTTCGTAGTTCCTTTTTGGGATTACCTTATAGGATTCTAAATATGAACCATAAAAAGGAACTACTTAGGAGCCTCTGGGTAGGGTCTAGGGATGTCTAGGGTTTAGTGTTTAGGGTTTAGGGTTTAGGGTTGAAGGCTTGTGTGCCGGACATGCAAGAGACGTCGGAATCCTACACCCTAAGTCAACAACGAACTGAGCCGCACAGCGCCCTAACACCAAGGCTCCAGATGGCCCAACAGCCTCTAAAGTATGAAGCCCAAAGGAGCTAATACTTAACATGTACAGTCCTGATAGAGCATCAGAGTCACAGGAATCTAACACAACCGTTGTAGAACCCCTAGACCTTCGAACAACTACTCTTTCGTATTGATAAGCCCTAAACCCTATAAGCCCCAAACCCTAAACCCCTAAACCCAAAGCCCCACACCCTAAACCCCAAACCCTAAAGCCTAAACCCTGAGTCGCGGACCGAAGAGCGGCGCCTCTTGGATCTTGCAGAGGCGCATGGCGCGGTGCTTTCAGGGAGTTTAGGGCTTATAGGGTTTATGTGGGGTTTTGAATTTAAGAATTTGGGGTCTAGGCCTTTGTGGGTTGAGGGTTTCAGGGCTTAGGGTTTAGGGTTTAATAGGGTTTAAGCCTTTGGGGGTTTATGGCAATTTTGGCGGGTCTGGACAGTTTTCCCAAGCCCTAAACCCTAAGCCCTAAACGGTTCTATTGAGTCTATAAGGGGTTAGGGTTGAAGGGTTTTGGGCATGTGACGGTGAGGGCCCAGATAGCTGAGCGGAGGGTTCACCCATTCAAACGTAGACGCGCAGCCCTGAATCTGTGGGCTTCAGGGTTATAGCCCTAAGCCTTCAAGTCTCAACCCTGAACCCGAAACCCCGAACCCTAGACCAGAAGCCCGAAGCATCAACAGCCAGCCCTTCCATCTGAGCCCTGCAAGCTTGAAAGCTTTCGGTTAGAGCAATACAGATTAGGGTTTATGATTCAGGGTTTAATCAGGGCCATTTTCGATGTTATAGTCAATTATAGTCCACGTGTATAAACATACCTTAACGCCGGTCCTGCGCTGTAATCTAAGAAAGCCTTCTACCATCTTCTACACTACGTCCAAGAACAGTAGTACCCTCAACCAGTAAGCCCCAAAGTTCTTAACACGCTAACCTAAACCCTAAACCCTCCTTCGATAAACAAACTTATTATGCTGACCCAAGCCCGACATCTTGAATTAAAACCGGAACATCGTCAAGCCACGTTCCCACACCTTAAGCTGAGTGAGTAAACATAAACTGAGTCAATCTGCATATATATATATTTATTTATTTATTTATTTAGATATATACACAGTATATATACATATACACAGTTATTTAGTTATTTATTTACTTATTCATTTTTTTATTTCCTTTATTTTTGATGTGCTGTACCTTGCGAGGCCCAGGAGGCCGAAGCGGTTGCCGCAAAAGCGGACGCCGAGGCATCGGTCTCCCAGAACTCCGCGCGTTTGGGTTCTTGGGGTTTGGGGTTTTGGGGTTTAGGGTTTTGGGGTTTTGGGGTTTTGGGTTTCAGGGTTTTGGGGTTTAGGGTTTTTGAATTTTAGGGTTCAGGGTTTTGGGGTTTGGGGTTTAGCGTTTCAGAGTTTGGGGGTTTGGGGTTTGGGGTTTCGGGAATTTAGGGTTTTGGGGTTTGGGGGTTCAGGGTTTAGGGGTTTAGGGTTTAGGGGTTTTGGGGTTTTAGGGGTTTCAGGGTTTTGGGGTTTCAGGGTTTTGGGTTTTAGGGTTTGGGGTGTGGGGTTTTGGGTTTTGGGCTTAGGGTTGGACGAGCTTCTGGGCTCATTGATTTGAGTAAGGGTTCCTTGTAGGGGTCCTTTTAGGGTTCTTGTCAAAAGGGCTTAGGGTTTGGGGGCTTAGGATTTAGGGTGGAGGGCTTTAGGATTTAGGATTGAGTGCTTCGGATTTAGATGTCCTGTCTCTGCTTTTAAATTAAGGGCGCCGTTTAGGGTCAGTATAAGGGATCCTCTTCTACGAGTTCTTGACTGAAGGTCCTTGCAAAGGCGCCCTGAGGGTCCTTACAGGTTTTCAGGGTCTTACCGTAAACCCCAAACCCTAAACCCTAAACCCAATCTAGACGCTTTAGTGGGGTTTAGGGTTCGGGAGTTTCGGATGTCGCGCGTTGTGAAGAGGTCGTCGCAGCACCCATATTACAACCAGGCCTGGCCCAGCCGAACACTGACCCGAACCCAAAAGCCTAAAACCTGAACCTTCACCCAAACCCTAAACGGTTTAGGGTTTAGGGGCCCTAAAACCTAAACCCTATAGAACCTTCTACCCTACAGTAGAAGCCAGAAGTTGGAACATCATGATCTTCATGCCCTTACGGCAAAGCATAAGGGCTCCCTAGCACTAATCCTCTTGAACCCATGTGCCAACTTTCTGGGTTCACTGTAACCCTAAACCCTAAACCCTAAGCCCCAACCCTAAATTAAACCCCAAACCCTAAACCCTACGCCTACACCCTAAACCCTAAACCAGAAAGCTCTTCAGGAGGCGGCAGCAGAAGTCGAGATGCCCCCCAGTTCGGTACCTTCCGTCGAGGTGGAGGCAGCTAGGGTTTACGGATGTCTAGGGGTCCAAGTAGTCCTTATTTGTGGCTTTGGGTACCCAAAATGGACCCAAAGTCCTATGATGGGGAGGATTTGGACCCTTAGGGTGGATGTTTGGGGGTTCAGGCTTTCAGGGTCTTTAGGCTTCAGAGTTCCGGCTTAGGGTTTAGGATTTAGGAATCAGGCTTAAGGATTTAAGATTTGGGTTTAGGCTTTAGGCTTTAGGCTCAAGATTTAGGGTTTAGGGTAGGGTTTAGGGTTGCGACGAGACTGGGGCTCAGATACTTATCTCCTTCCCTTCCTAACGTATGTGCTCTTAAATGAGTGGAATAGTATTCTTTATTCTTTAGGCTTCCGTGGTGGTCACTGACCTGAAGAGCACTGTAGCCCTCTCCCTGAGGTCGGCTACCCCAGCCGGCACGAAAGGGCGGAAGATCAGGGTCACAAATCCAAAGGCTCCATGTACCCATATAGTATATACTTAGGCCTTAAAGGGGTTCCTATATAGGTACTTTAGGGTCTAAGTATATACTATATGGGTACATGGAGCCTTTGGGAAATCAGGCTCGATCGCTCTTGGAGAAGGACTCGATGAAGGCGGTAGCGGAGGCAGCGGAGGCAACGGTGACCTCCCCTGTCCACTTCACTAGCTCTGAATGTGTGGGCGGCACAGACGGAGCTCCTACCCTCACAACGGAAGAGGGTAAATCGGGCAAGGCTACCCCGGTGGCTCAGAAGGTGACGTGGCTGATAAGTTGGCTGTTTTCTTTTTTGGTTTGCCAGTTGTCTTGCTGGCATCCAGGAACACGGTATTTATCAGACAAAGGGAACTGCGGATCTCGATCCCCGCAAACCAAAAGGATCCTATTCTCCTAACTATAGCTCTACCAAACTTTACTCGCGAGCTTCACCTATCCGGCGAAACAGGAAGTCCAACTGCACTTGTAAAAGCCTCGGAGGAGCTACAGTAAGATATTCTACAACCAGTATGAAAAACTGTTCCATCCATACTAGAGCTTGATTTTCACAGACGAGTTTCAGTTTGACAACGTGCATGGATCCTCTCACTGCCCACATCGCCTCCCTGCTTGCAGGATCACTGGGTTTCGCAAGTGGCTCCTACACCTGGACCCTACAGAACCTACCTTTCTAAGGATCTATATAATGGGAAGAAATCATATCGTGGAATCCTAAAAAGGTAGGTTTTCCATGATCCAGGTAAGTGGTGGTTTAAAGGATCGTCTTCTTCGGCTCCGAGAACCTGCCTGCTAAGTTTTCTGGGGCTCCAAGCAAATCCTACAACACGGCAAACCCAAACAGCAAACGAACCCGAACCGTTTCGAACCATGTCTTCCGACCTGGGGAATCTAGTATATCTGCATGGTGGACACCGATGAGGCAAAGGAGCCAACTGTAGAATGGATAATTAGTCATGGAACCCGCAACAGGTCCTAATCCCTAGATCCTCAAGCCTAGATCTGAAGCCATAAACCCCACAAGCCCGAACCTCATGAACTCTAATTGCATCCCATAAAGCCGGAAGCCCAAAGTAAGTCCTCCGATCCAATGCCTCGAAAGTCAATCCTCCATTAATTGAGAACAATGTAGAGGTTTAGGGTTTTGGGGCTCGGTAAGTTCTGTTGCACTCTCTGGTACCCTTGTAGAACCCTTATTTAAAGGACACTTGGAAACATACCTTGAAGCCAGACTAATACTTCAAACCTTCATAATGCCTTCGAGATTCTTTAATACCCAGAGAGGAATCGCTGCAGGAAGCAAACCCAATAATAACCCTAAAGGAGGGAGACGTTAAAGGAATCAGAACAAAAACCTGAATAATACCCCTAGTTAAAGGGTTCCTATATAGCTACTTTAGGGTCAAGGCATATACTATATTGGACTTTCCGAAAATTAGGGTACCTTATTTTGGTGACTCCCATATGGGTACACGGAGCCTTTGGGTAAGAAGGAGCTCCAGCCTCTGGGTGCTTGCGTTCTCAACGCTCAGCGAAGCTCTGGACGAGTCAGGCACAGAGTGCATTAGGGGTGTCTATATCTATATATCTATATCTGTATCTATATGCATATATATATATTTATTTATTTATTTGTTTATGTATATATATATAGAGGGGTTATAAGAAGGGTTCCAAAATAGCGTTGTATAACTAAGCATTCTATAAGAAGGGCTCTGTCAGAAGGGCTTAGGGGCTTCATAAAAAACAAGGCCTTAGTAATTTGACCAGGGTTCCTCTACAGACTCCGTGTCAAGGCTTCCATGTTTAGGGATTGTGTACATTCAAAGGGTACTTACCATACGGGCTTGGGGCTTAGAGCTTAGTGTTTAGAGTTTAGGGTTTGGGGTAAGGTTTCGCGGGGTTTCCGGGCTTGGCTGCATAGTCGATAGACATCGAACCTTGCTCTGGATCAAGATGCATGGCGGTTTGGTAGGGTTTTCTGCAGCTAAGACCCTAAACCCTAAACCCCAAACCCTAAACAGGTTATTATGGGGTTCAGGCGCGGAGGTGGTTTGCTGATCTTCTGGAGCAAGGTGGCATCCCTTCAACCTCTTCAAAAGTCGAGCTCCGAAGCTGCACGCTGTTACTATTTACGTGGGTTGGACGACAAGATGCATAACCAGCTAGTCGACTTCAATGAACTTCAATGTCTCATTCGCAGGCCGAAGGCAAACAGGAACTCCTAAGCTATAAGGCATCACCCAAACCGCAAGCCCCGAGAGGCAAGGTAAGCTCTACAGGTCAGCTGGAGCTTTATGGGACGCTGGAGATGTCAAGGAAAGGATCTCCAGGCTTACAGGTTCTAGCAAGCTATAGGGGTGCATGTGCATCCCAACTTAATAGCGCCGAAGTTTACCCACCCTGTAGTCTTGAGTTAGCAAAATCTAGCTTTCTGTCCAGCTCCCTTCTGTGAATAGGCGATCTTGTGGTCCGGGGCTTTCTTTGTTTTGCTTCGTGTCATTTGTGGACCAGGTTCCGCGGTTTTCAGGTGGCTTACCGACGTTTGTTGCGCTTGAGATGCTTTGGGTGCTTAGCCTAAACCCTAAACCCTAAACCCTAAACCGGGACAGGGTGCCTCAAGCAGGGGTTTAGGATTCAGGCACCCTAAAGGACGACACCCCCCCTCGTGGACGACACATGGTGCGGTACAGGATTTGCAGTTCCGGGGTTTGGGAGCGGCTCTGTTTAGGGTTTAGGGCTTAGGGTTTAGGGCTTAGGGCTTAGGGTTTAGGGTTTAGGGTTTAGCTCAAGTTCTGCGTTTTTTTCGGGAAAAATTAAACAGTTGATGCGTTAGGGCTTATGGTGTGTAGTAAGCAATTCGCCGACAGGTACTAGGTGTTTGGACATGTTTTCAAGGTATTGGCTGCGACATCTTAGGAGCACCCTTAATTAAATCCTAAACCCCTAAACCTATAAAGCCTAAACCCTAAAACCCCGGGACCATGCCTGTGCCAGGCCGATTGATTCCGATTCATCATCAAATGCCTTTGGTCCGTTGGCGTCTGAGGGCTAGGCCAGGGGTCAACCTCCCCCCAAGTTTTTTTTGGTAGGGTTCCTCTAGAGTATATACATGGGTTTTACATCATGAGAACCTACAAAAAAGTAGGGTTTGGGTAGTTTAAGGCAGGGTTCGGGGGTTCAGAGTTGAGATTCCGCAGGATGAGAGTTGAGATTCCGAAGGAGGAAGACCAATCCTACAGTTCCGAAAGAGCAGGATGCTTTTTTCCTAGGCAGTTTTAGGGAGACCCCTTAAAGGGACCCTTCTTAAGCCTACTTTTGGCGCTCTTAACAGGGACCGTATTGAGGAGGGTCTATATCCCCAGGGGTCCCCCTAATCCTAACTCCTACTTTTGGCGATAGCACATCACGGTCCAGGGTTTAGGGTCTCGGGTTCAGGGTTAAGGGGCTTAGGGTTTAGGCAACACTCTCAACCCAAAACTGATACTCGTTTTTTGAACTTTGCATCTGTTTCTACGTTGTTTCTATTGCCAATCCTCATAGCTGCATTGCAGTTCCTTATCGGATTTACTTTATTTATGGGATCCTCAGCGTATGATTGATTAAACGGAAAAGGGACGACAATGGAGACTGAGGGTAGGTTTCAGGACTTTGAGCTCTGCAAAAGCAGGGGACCTTAGATTAGTCGTTAGTCTAAACACGCCCCACTGGGACGCACCATCCAAAGCCCACTGAGGGGTTTATGGTGCTTGGGCTTTTGAGCAACAGCAGCGTTGTAACAACGACATACCGGAAACCCTAAACCCAACACCCCAGAAGTTCAACTCTACCCGAAAACACAGTCCCAAAGGCTTCGTGTACCCATATAGTATATACTTAGACCCTAAAGTACCTATATAGGAACCCCTTTAAGGCCTAAGTATATACTATATAGGTACATAGAGCCTTTGGGAGTAGTCACCGCTACCACTGGAACAAAAACCTCCTTGGAGGCTCCTGGCTGCAAGGCAAGCGCCTTCGTCGTTTTTTGAGTTTTTGTTCTCCGATCCCCCGGCTAATTATCAACCCAAAGGCTCCATGTACCCATCTGGTATATACTTAGGCTTTGAAGGGGTTCCTACATAGGTACTTTAGGGTCTGAGTATATACTATATGGGTACATGGAGCCTTTGGGCAATTAGCCAATCTCCGAAGTGAGACAGGGGAGCTGTAAAGGATTCGATGGCAGTTAGAGAGGTCACCCTGCGGAGGGTTCACTGGTTTCAAGCAGTGTTTTTCATGGCTTGATCAGCTTCGATAGTCTTCTCGTGGTTTAGGGTTGTTTCGTGGCTCGGGGAATTACACCAGAACTGCAGCCCCATATTTTGGCCCGAAGCTGTGCGATCCTTTCACAAAGAGTTCAAGCATGCCAAGGACTTGGAGGGAGCCGATTGTCCCAAAATGAGCACATGACCGGAGCGGGACTGTGGCTAAAAAGTCGAAAATGTGGAGAACAGAAACAAAGGCGCAGCCAAGAATGCGCAGGAATGCTGATTGAGCGGCCGAACACTTTCGGACCTGCAGGTGCGCACGTGCTTTGACGAAAGATTGGGATCACTGGTTCAAGAAACAGAGGGGTCTTCAAAGTCTCGCAGGGCGAAGCTTCGGAGCAGACCTCGGGCCAAGGGTTGCGACTGCATTGTGGCTTGGTTTTTCTTGCACGGCCCTCGCGGCGTGTGCTTTAGTGCTGAGCGTTGGGTTAGGGCGGTTCGGGCCGGAGTCTCGCTTCCGGGAGCCTGTGATCATTGTTTCTGTTCAGAACACCCGCCACTTTCCAAGCTGGTCCAAGCTCTCCTGGCTGTGTGACTTGGTCTTCGGCTGCTGTGGACAACGCCCCGGGCAGGCATGAGGCGCAACTGCCACTGCCACTGCGGCTACATCTACGGCTACCACTACCAGAAATTGCCTACTACTTCCACCTCTGCTTCTATATCTCCTTCTACTCTGCTACAACCACTACCCCAACCTGCGGGTCTATCCCTGCAGCCTTCCGAGCAAGACGGCCACCTCCGATCTGGCTTGCTTGTTGTGAACTAAACCTAGGCGTGCTTGAAATGTTGGGGTCTGTGGCAGCAACGATGCTTCGACCGCTGTTACCGCTCCGGTATGGGAAGCTTTCGGTGCTGGGCTTGGGATTGTCGAAAACTCCCGCATCAAAGAAAAGTGGAGTAAATATAGAAGGAACCTAATTCATAAAACAGAAAGTCGGATATATATATCGGGTCTACCTAGACCTCCGGACTACCCGTTTTGTTTACTTGAAATTCCAACGGTTAAGGATCAGAGGGGCTCTATTCAGGGGCACGGGGGGGACTCCTGGTGGGGCGGCGAGGCTTTGGTTCCGAAGTTTTTCCTCGGCCTTGATGTCAGCCGTGCGCATTCCGGCTTAAAGTTTGAAGTGAGTGCAGTTGAGGTTCACAGTTGAGGGTTACGGTTCCCTAAACTACGCCAAGCAAAAATGAGTCTGGCGGCACATTTTTTCGAGACCTCTCTGGCTTTTTGGCCGCAGAGCTACAACAGCATTGCGGTTAGTTGCAGCTTGCTCTAGATGCCGTGCTGCAGCTTGCCCAACGGCTACCGGCGCCCTGACTGGCAGGACTGTGGTCCAACGGGGTAGGATGCTAGAGATCCGTGTGGAATACCTCAATTAGGGAACCTTGGACAGCCCTCCTTGCGTATACCATAACTTAATATCTGATGATGTATGGTCAGGAATCTAGCTATTGGAATCTGAGCTTGCTTTCCAAACGCATTGACATGTGTGTGCATATGCCTCTGCATATGTATGTGTGCAGTGTGGCAATATACTTACAGATTTATATACACATTTGTTACATCTATGCGATATAAAACATATTCCGATGTACCAGAAACTGCCCCACTTGAGCCCTGTCTTCTGGTCGGTGCCTGCCTTTTGCACGCCTCCACCTCCGTGCAGGAAGCTGCAGTATTCTGTCTGTAAAAAGGCAGAAGAACCTGAACCCCAACGTCAATCTTGAACCCTAAGCCGTGGTGCTGATTTTGGGCTGGCCTTTAACCCAAAAGTTACTACACGATAGCTCCTTTTAGTGCTATGGGGTTTATGGGGTTCCATTAAGCCTTCCCAATGGTTTCCACAAAGGGTGCTATCCTGGTTTGAAGCCAAGTGCTGAATTTCAATGTCGGAAAATGCCCCATGACCGACGAAGTCTACACATGGATTGCCTACACAAGCCGACAATCTCAAGACCAAGAATAATCGAGGTGCCTATATAGGTGTGGTGTAAAGCCCAAACGCTGCCGTCTCTAGCATGTCCAACCGCATCCTGATCTCGGTACATAGATGCGCATACATACATATGTACATCATTGCATCACCATCCAAGAATAAGACCCTAAATGAACGGCTTCTCAGACAAGGAAGGGCTTTGAGCTTTCCTGGGATTTATATTCGGAGTAGCGACAGCAAGCTTCGAACGACGTGATATGTATGTGTTGTCAGCCTATGTCTGTGTTTTATGTAAGGCATAAGCTAAGCAAGCGGTTGCTCAAAAAAACAAACCCCGAACCCTCATAAATGCTAAGTAAACCTCGAAAGACTGAACTTTGTACCCGCGTACTGCAGTAATTAACCCTATGCTTCCAGGGACCTTATTATTGGGTCCTTAAGGGGTCTAGGGCCCTAACTATAAGGTCCTTGGAAGCCTAGGGTAACATCGGGTTCGGAAGTACCAGGACGTCAGGTTTGCCCTACAGCCAAACCCTAAACCCCCATGTTCCCTGTGCGGAGGCCGTTTGCCGAGGCCTTTAGCTTACCAAAAGCACCGCCCCTGTGCGCGAGCGTGATGCCCGCAGGGAGGGCACAAGCACCCTGGTGGCTGTTGAGCTCGCACTGCAGCTTACATCCGCGCCCTCGCTTGCTTGTTCCATTCTGTAAGCCGCTCAAGGTTGGCAGTCTAGTTGTATGTCATGGACAAGCATCCCAGAAATTATTGCAGTATTATTCATGCACCCATCAGGTAATCAGGCATTGTACTTGTATTCTCCACAGTAGTAAGTCAGCAGGTACAAGCATTGAACCCCAAACTGTAAGTATTCGGGAGTGTCAGACGCAACTGAACTATACTGGACCTCTAATGAGGTATCCCCATATATATATATATGATCCCTTCAACTTAACCCCTAAATCATAAAAAAACACCAATTTTAACAACCTTTTAACTGCTAAACTATAGATGCCCCCAAATACCATCCCCTATAAACCCTGAACGGTAAACCCTAAACCGGATCAGATACTCATTACGTCGCTGGTAGACTTTACCTTTAATTCAAATCCTAGTGGCCAGAGCAACAAGGGCACAAATTCTCACCCCAAACCTTAGAAGCCCCAAACTCTAAACCCTCTGAAGCCTCAACCTTAAACCAACCCGAAACCCTGAACCTATAGGTCTCTTTTGGACCCCGAAACCAAGTCCAAGGCCTGAAGCCGTAAGCGAGACATTCGGCACTAAGCCCTTCGTCATCCCCGAAGTGCTCGGGCAAAAACTCTGAAAAAAAGGTCTGCGAGGTGTCAGAACCTCAGGTTTTGCGGTAACAAGGCCGAAGGTGATAAACGGTGTTAGCTAAGCTTTTCGCTGTTGCATTGGAGTCTAAGGTTGCGGATTTGTGTTCGCATTCGGGTAGAAGCACGGGACGGATCTCCTTAAGCCCAGCTTATACTTGAGGCTTCCGTTAAAGGTTCTGCAATATGAGGGTTCTTGAAGGGTTTAATTAGCGCTAGGGAACTTAAAAACAGAGTGGTTTTGGGGTTACTTTTATTTATAGCTAGGTTCCAGAGTTTGTCCCGGAGCTTTGCTTTTTGTTTTGGGTGAGGGTCGAAGGCTGAAGATTTTGAACGAGGTTCAGATGCGAGGCTCTACTTGGAGGCCCCTGTGCCCAATGGGTCTTAATAGCTAGGGTCACAAAACAGGTAACAGGACTGGTGAATACGTGTCACATAAACTGAGGGAATTATATCCTCATTTATGAGGTACCATG